TGGTAAGCTGGAATTGGAAACAGCCAAAGCCATGCCTACTGGGAATGCAAGAGATTTTGTCTCCTGCTGCACCAGAGTGCCACCTGCTGGCTATAGGTGGCCATCACCAGCCAGGCAGGAACCTCATTTGTCCAGTCCCTTCTTTACGGGACTTTAAGAGACTACTAAACAACTACACGGGAGGAGGCACTGGCACCCCTCTCCACTCTTGCCTGGAAAACCCCATGGACAGAGGAGCCTGGTAGGCTGCAGTCCATGGGGTCGCTGAGAGTCAGACACGACTGAGCGACTTTACTTTCTCTTTCCTGCATTGGAGAAGGAAATGGCAACCCACTCCAGTGTTCTTGCCTGGAGAATCCCAGGGACGGGGGAGCCTGGTGGGCTGCCGTCTATGGGATCACACAGAGTCGGACACGACTGAAGTGACTCAGCAGTAGCAGCAGAGAATGTAGATGGGGTATGGGGCAGTGACTCAGATCTGAATGTTAGGGAGCTTGCCCTGTAAAGATAACAGGGCAAAGCACTCTAGGCAGAGCGCAGAGTCCAAAGGAACGGACGCGAAGGCCCTTAAAGCGAGAGTAAGCACAGCACATTCAAGATCAGAGCCAGCCAGCGTGGCTGCATGCGGTGGGAAGGGCAACAGGGGACCAGTTTATGAAGGAAGGACTGTGTAGGCAATACAAGGAATTCTAAGAGTGAAAGGAAGCCGCTGACACCTTTCAGATAGGAAAGTGACAGAACCTGACTTTGCTTTCAGATCTCTCTGGTTGCCCTCTGGAGAATGGACTGTCTCAGGCAGGAGTGGAAGGAGGAGCCAGGGAGAACCTGAGATGTGGACCAGGAGAGACGGTGGGGCAGCAGCATGAAGGGGAGGGTTCTGGGCATACTCTAGAGTCAGAGTCAGCGGGGCTCGCTGATGCACTGGATGTGGGGGTGAAAAATAGCAGAACCAATAATGACTCCCCAAGACCAGGAGGATGACAGCTACTGCGGAATACCTAGACACAAGGAGAAAGGGCCGCAGGGAACTTCTCCCCCAGGTACATGGCATCGCGACAAGCAAAGGCCTGGCCTTAATAATCAGCCCTGCTGGAGGGGGCAAGCAAGTGAACCGCGCTGAGGCTTGGTTTCCTCACCTATCCTGCCTGGGTGCATTTCGAGGGCTAAATAGAAGCCTGACACCAACTGGACACTCACGCTGGCCTGGCCTCTGAGCACACTGAGGTGGCCAGTTTTCTCCCATTGTTGGGGCTTCCCAAGCGGCTCAGAGGTAAAGAATCTGCTTGCCAATGCAGGAGACACGGGTTTGATCCCTGAGTCAGGAAGATATCTTGGAGAGGGAAATGGCAACCCACTTCAGTATTCTTGCCCGGAGAATTCCATGGACAAGAGGCGCCTGGCAGGTTATAGTCCACAAGGTCACAAGAGAGTCAGACATGACTGAGCAACTAAGCAACAATTCCCATTTGTTGGGAGATATCTCTCCAGGCAGCCAGAGCCCTGTCCACAGCTGGAAGAACACCCAAGGTCAACATCTAATTCTAAGCAGACACCCCAGAGTAATTCCCTCCATCCTCCAAGTCTTGGACCCTGGAAAAGAAATGGTCACTCTCAGTCCCCTAAATCAAAGGGAATGTGGGAAAGAGCAGTCACTATGGCAAAAACAAATACCAGAGACCACAGGCTGTGAGCACCACATCACTTTATTTCTTTGGTTTTCCAACTTCACTTTTGGACAATGCAAAGTCAGTCTCTCACCTGCCTGGCCCCTGTGTGGTCTCACTGGAGACAGGGCTTGGGCTCTAAGGAGCTCAACAGAAAAACGGGGGTCTCCAAGGACTGCGGGGTCCACAGCAGATGCACCAAGCACCAGCAAGCAGAGACCCAAGGCTCTCTTCCCCGGCCCTTTACCTCCTCACAATGAACGGGCCAGCCCTCAGTGATCAGGCTCAGGACCCTCCCCTAGAGGCCAACCTTGGTCCTCCTCCTTCATCTCCGCTTCTGCTCATACGGAGCCTGACGCCCTCTCCCTTAGGGGCACCAAGCAGAAGTTATGACCTGCTCCACAACTGGTCTCTAATTTTGCTTTGGGAAACATCTTTGCATAAAGAGGGTGCCAACCCCCAAAAGAAACTGAAGTCATATATTCTGCCCAATGGGACAGATGGCCACGCTACAATACTCCCTCTGTCCCTGGGAAAAGCTGAAAGCAGCTGTAGCTAACCAACCTCCCTTCGGGTCCCCACAAACACAGAGCTTCCAACACGAGCAAGGGGGCCTGGCCAACTCACTTAAATCAAAAGACTAAAAAAACCAAGACGCGATAATAAAAATAAGAACAGCAAACAACTGAAGAGAACATCCCTGGTCCTGTAGCTCTCTACAGGAGGCCAGACGGCAGTCTCCGGCTCTCTCTGCCCTGGAGCTGGGAAGCAACACAAAGCTGCCCTCGGAGTCACAGTAGACACCATGGCAGCAAAAGGGATCCTGGCCAAGCCAGGGGGCGACTCAGGCCTCTGACCTTCTCCCAAGCGGTCCTCCTTCCTCCCAGCCCCTTGCACACCTGCCCGTCAGCCGTCCACCAGAGTGAGGCCATCGTAGAGGGCGCGCTTCCACATGTAGTAGGTAGAGCGGGCGGTGAGGGGGAAGAGGGTGCTGAATTCCTTGTAGGAGGGGAAGCTCTTGGACTGGAAGCGCTTCTGCAGGAACAGCTTGGCCTGGGCCTTGAACTTCGTGGTGGCCAGCATGTCCATCACCAGCACCTGGCTGTCCCGGCCCCCCGCCGCCGCTGCTCTCACCACAGGGTGGCTGGACAGGGACCCACTGGGGGGCTGACCCTGGGCCGTGGGCCCCTCTTGCAGGGCCCCCTCTCTGGAAGGCCCTCCCGGGGCCTTACCTGGATCCTCCCCTGGAGAAGCTGCCATCTGCCGGGTCCCTGCAGAGAGGGCCAGGGCAGCTGTCACATTCCTGCCAGCTTCTTTCTCCTCTGCCTCCTTCCTGCCCCCTCTGCCCAAGGTGGGGGCCCGGATCTGGAGCTTGGACCGGCTTCCGGGCCAGCTCCGGGCCAGACTCTTCCAGACCCAAAAGCAGGAGGGCGACAAGCTCGGGTAGCGGAGGCGGAAGCGACAGAAAGGGAGGCGCCCACCGAGCACCTGCTTGCGGGCTGCTCTGCGCAAACGCCTCTGCCAGCGGGCCAGCGGTACCCTCAGCGGCAGGAACGCCCGCGAGGCAGGTGGGCCCCCACCCGTGGCTTTCGCTGCCCCCTCTCCGACCTCACCACCCTTCCAAGGGAGCAAAACCTTTTCGCCCACCGGCGCTGGCTGGGGAGGCCCACACTCCGAGAGGGCCGGCCCTGGCTTGAAGCTGGGGTTCCTTCGGAGAGCCTTTCGGCGCCAGTTGTAGTAGGTGGACCGGGAGATGCCCGGGAAGCGGCGTTTGAAGCAGCGGTAGGGTACCAGTGTGTTCAGGGCGATGCAGTGCTCCAGGTACATCTTGGCCCGCTGCATGAAGACCATGCCAGGGCTGGACACGGCCGTCGAGGAGCATCCCTGCTCCTCGGCAACCTGCCGCTCCGGCAGCTTCTCCAGCTCCTCCGCAGGGGCTAGGGCCCGGCAGGTGCCAGAACCCACGAGCTCATGCTTCCAGGCATAATAGGTGGAGCGGGAGATCTCGGGGAATCTCTGCAGGAACTGCTGCAGCGGCACGACGCCCCCGCGGTGGAAGCTGTCCTGCAGGAAGTGCTTGGCGGAGAAGCGGGTGGCCACCTTCTGCCGATGCTCCTGGGACTGCCGCCGCCAGCGGTAGAAGGTGCTCTTGGTGACGCTGGAGCGCTCTCCCAGGTGCGAGTAGCTGAGGCCGGGCTCGCGATTGAGCAGCTCCAGGGTCTTGGCGGGCGGGGGCAGTGGGGCCGGGCCGGGGTGGGCACTCTCGGCCTCCACCTCCTCCAGCCCCACCACGGGCGCAAAGTACTGGTGGCGGAAGAGGTGGCCGCTGAGCGGCTGGCCCGCCCACATGATGTGCAGCGTGGCGGGCGTGTGGTCGCAGCGGCGCGGGCGGATGACACGGTTAAAGTACGGCCGGATCTTGAGGTTGCGCAGCGGGTAGATGGAGTAGATGTTGCGCTGGACCACCGAGGCGAGGGCGTACAAGTGCCACACGTTGGAGAAGCTGCTGGGAAAGCAGGTGGCCTTGACGTCCGCGTCGAAGATGGCCTCGAGCGTGGCGGATGGTAGGCTGGTCATCTCCGGGGACTCCTCGGAGCGCAGGGAGTAGCGCACGGCCTGCAGCATCACCTTGGAGTCGATCATGCCCTGGAGGTAGTAGTGGCGGTGCAGCAGCATCTCCACCACCGTGCGCGCCCGCAGCTCCAGGCTGAGGCCCGCGTCGCCCCACAGCAGCAGGCTGGCCGCCTCGAAGAGCAGGCTGCCCTCGCCCTGGCACACCAGCGGCAGCATGTTCCGGGGCGCATCCTCCGGATACAGGCTCAGGGCCACCGAGTCCACCTCCAGCACCTGGGGGCCGGGGCCTCCCCCACGGCGGGTGGGGAGAGCGAAGGAGGATAGGACCTGCTTGGCCTCCAGAGCGGCACCGATGAGACCCTCCAGGCCCTCTGACTCCACCGCCTCCTGCAGCTCCTGCAGCACGTGCTGCACCAGCTGCTCCCGAGAGGTCATCCTAGCAGGGCAAAGGGGAGAGGGCAGAGGTCAGGACGAGTACCCGATGACACTCCTGGGCCCTCTCCCTCCAGATAATGCCTGTCTACTCCCATTCCGCCATGGAAGAAAATGGCTAAGTGCCTCCTGGGGTTTGTTTAATTACCCAGTGGTACAAAGGAAGAGCTTGATCTTGGAGAATGGCTTTGAATCCTGGTTCTGCTATTAGCTTGAGCAAGTCATCAACCTCTCTGTGCTTCTGGTTCCTTTTCTGTTAAAAGGGAGACAATGATAAAAGTATATACTTTATAGATTTGTTGTATATAAAAGAGACAAAGTAAAAGATGGTTAATAGGTGGAGCGGGAGATCTCGGGGAATCTCTGCAGGAACTGCTGCAGCGGCACGACGCCCCCGCGGTGGAAGCTGTCCTGCAGGAAGTGCTTGGCGGAGAAGCGGGTGGCCACCTTCTGCCGATGCTCCTGGGACTGCCGCCGCCAGCGGTAGAAGGTGCTCTTGGTGACGCTGGAGCGCTCTCCCAGGTGCGAGTAGCTGAGGCCGGGCTCGCGATTGAGCAGCTCCAGGGTCTTGGCGGGCGGGGGCAGTGGGGCCGGGCCGGGGTGGGCACTCTCGGCCTCCACCTCCTCCAGCCCCACCACGGGCGCAAAGTACTGGTGGCGGAAGAGGTGGCCGCTGAGCGGCTGGCCCGCCCACATGATGTGCAGCGTGGCGGGCGTGTGGTCGCAGCGGCGCGGGCGGATGACACGGTTAAAGTACGGCCGGATCTTGAGGTTGCGCAGCGGGTAGATGGAGTAGATGTTGCGCTGGACCACCGAGGCGAGGGCGTACAAGTGCCACACGTTGGAGAAGCTGCTGGGAAAGCAGGTGGCCTTGACGTCCGCGTCGAAGATGGCCTCGAGCGTGGCGGATGGTAGGCTGGTCATCTCCGGGGACTCCTCGGAGCGCAGGGAGTAGCGCACGGCCTGCAGCATCACCTTGGAGTCGATCATGCCCTGGAGGTAGTAGTGGCGGTGCAGCAGCATCTCCACCACCGTGCGCGCCCGCAGCTCCAGGCTGAGGCCCGCGTCGCCCCACAGCAGCAGGCTGGCCGCCTCGAAGAGCAGGCTGCCCTCGCCCTGGCACACCAGCGGCAGCATGTTCCGGGGCGCATCCTCCGGATACAGGCTCAGGGCCACCGAGTCCACCTCCAGCACCTGGGGGCCGGGGCCTCCCCCACGGCGGGTGGGGAGAGCGAAGGAGGATAGGACCTGCTTGGCCTCCAGAGCGGCACCGATGAGACCCTCCAGGCCCTCTGACTCCACCGCCTCCTGCAGCTCCTGCAGCACGTGCTGCACCAGCTGCTCCCGAGAGGTCATCCTAGCAGGGCAAAGGGGAGAGGGCAGAGGTCAGGACGAGTACCCGATGACACTCCTGGGCCCTCTCCCTCCAGATAATGCCTGTCTACTCCCATTCCGCCATGGAAGAAAATGGCTAAGTGCCTCCTGGGGTTTGTTTAATTACCCAGTGGTACAAAGGAAGAGCTTGATCTTGGAGAATGGCTCTGAATCCTGGTTCTGCTATTAGCTTGAGCAAGTCATCAACCTCTCTGTGCTTCTGGTTCCTTTTCTGTTAAAAGGGAGACAATGATAAAAGTATATACTTTATAGATTTGTTGTATATAAAAGAGACAAAGTAAAAGATGGTGATATATGGGTATATATGTATACATGTATGTATATATACACACACATATGCACATATATATATATATATCCTTAGAAAAATGCCTGGCACATAGTAAAGTACTATGAAAGTGCTAGGTCTTAATGTATTAGAGTATTATCTAGCATTATGGAAATTCTCTGATGGCCCAGCAGGTAAAGAATCCGCCTACGATGCAGAAGACACAGGAGACTTGAGTTCAATCCCTGGATTGAAAAGAGCCCCTGGAGAAGGAAAATGGCAACCCACTCCGGTATTCTTGCCTGAAAAATCCCATGAACAGAGAAGCCTATCATCTATAGGGTCACAAAAGAGTCAGACACGACTGAGCGACTACATTTCTAGTATTATACATATTATATAGTACAGGTACTAAAGTATAGTCCACGGGCCCTTGCGGTTCCCTGAGATTTTCAGAGGGGCTTCAAGTTAAACTCTTTTCATAATAATACTAAGATATACTAAGATAACAACACTAAGATATGATTTTTTCAATTGTGTTAACATTGGAGTAAAACAGTAGTACCTCAGCATGAATCAAACTAGAAATCACTATGTTCTTCACCACCATGTAGTCACAGTTGGGAAAAAGAAAGCTGGTACCACTTTAAATGTCCTTGATGCAGCAAAGATTATTATTTTTTTAATCACAAGCCTTAAATACATGCAGCATTTCTGCTGCACACTGGTGTATAATGAATGAGTGAAAGTTGCTTGGGCTGCATGATGAACTAGATGTTTTTTCATACAATAACATTTTTTAACTTGGAAGAAAAAATAAGTGGCATTAGTCTTGGATATATTTGACTTGGATATATTTGACAGATGTTTTTCTCAAAAGTGAATAAGGTGAGCCTGTCACTTCAAGGAAAACTTTATGGTCAGTGAAAATTTTTGAGCTTTCATATGAAAATTAGAATTTTGAAAAACCTGTATCTGCTACAGTGAGCTTGACAGCTTCCCAATACCTAAAGATTTTTCTGATGGGAGCAGTGGTGACACTAAGACATCTAACTTTTTAGACTATGTAATGGAATGGTCAGCACTTGAAGATCTGTGTCACTCAATGAACCCCCTTTCCCAAATAACCAATAGTCTGGCACAGTTAAAAGATCATTTTAAAGTATTAAAGAAAGCAAAGGATTTTAATATAATAGGGTACCAAAGTTCCTGAATATTGTTTCAGATTCTGCATTATAACTATACCACCTGTTAAATTTTGGTGTAGTTGTCAAAAAAATCCGCTGAAAAAGCTATCAAAGTACTCTTTCTAGAGAAATTTCCTAAGGTCTAGTGGTTAGGACTTGATGTGTTTCACCTCTGTGGCCTGGGTTCAATCCCTGGTTGGGGAGCTAAGATTCTACATACACCGAAGTTAAAAGACCTTCCCCTGTCCCTCTGTCCATCTGTATCTGGATGAAGTTGGATTTTCTTCATATACTTCTACCGAAATAATGTATCAGACTGAAAGTAGAGACGGATGAGCATCTACTTATCTTCTGTTAAACCAGATATTAGAGAGACATGAAAAACCTAAAAGATGCACTGTTCTCACTAGACACTTTTTGTTCTAGAAAAGTTAGTTTTCATGAAAACTATTATTCATTACCATGTAACAGGTTTGTTCTTTTTAATAAAGAAATCTTTTCTAAATGTCTAAGTTTTAATTTTGAATGTAACATACGTTGACCAATGTAAGCTATATAAACAAAAGCTCTTCAGGGTCTTCAATGTTTACGAGCACACAGGGGGCCCAAGACCAAAAGGTTTAGAACTGCTGACCTGAGACAGAGATGGTCTTTTCAAAGAGGTAGCAGCAGCCTAGCCCTTGTGCTGACAGAGATCTGATAAGGAAGGTTTACTATTTGCCGTGGACTGTCCCAATCCTGGCAGTTGAACTTTAAGGTGGGAACTACCATTACCCCCAATTTACAGGTGAAAAAACTGATACAATCAAAACTAGGCTCATCTGCCCAATTTGCCCCAGGCAACCTAAGTGATGCAGCCAATTGTTGAAACCAGATGCTCTTTAGGACCTGTGATTCATCTACTCCAGCTTAAAATGCCAGTCACCTCTCAGTACAAACTAATCCTCCTAATTACTGGTAGGTTTTCTGTGTTGTTTTGCAAAACAGAGTAATATTCCTTTGTGGACACTTTTTTAAATTAAAAAAGAAACCATTAACCATTCTCAGATCTCTGTCCTTAGAGTTTAATAAATGACTTTAGATTAGCCTTGGGTTTAAAAATTGTGGGTGGGCATACACATTTGCCAGCTCACTGCACACCTAAAAGGAATGTGTCTTGCATTCTTATAAGGGAAGTTTGAGTGTAAATTGTGGTTCAGTAAAGTTGAAAAGTTTTTAAAGAACCAAAGGCTTACCACTAGAATTTTACTTGATAACCATAAAAAAGAAAGCATTTTAAAAACTGGTAATGAGAATCACCTTTGGATAAAAATTTCTTGCCTGCAGATTTTTTTTAATGTGCTTGTGACAAAACTGATCTAACCTCTCACTGAATTTCTATTTGGACCATATTATTTGACCCTGGAATTTAATCTGTTGATCTTTTATATACTTTATATTTACTTTTTAAAAAACTTTATTTTTTTTTTGACTCAGGAGATAAACTTCAGCAAGAACACTTCCATATGCGATAAAAAAAACTGAGCCCTGGGGAACAAACTGTACACACAGATGAGCTTTTTCACTCTGGCAGACAACAAAGATGCTGGGGGTTTTGTTTTTCTTGCATATCACTTGTAAATGCTGCTATACAGACACATATAAGTGAGCTCTCTGCTCTGCTAGATACTTTCCAAACAAAATTATGAAAATAACCACCATTGCCTACTGCTTACTATGTGCATTTAGGTAATTCAACCAAAATCTCAACAAAAAAGAGGGGACAATTAAATCGTGTGGGTGATTCTTCCTGCTCTTCCATGTGGGGAACAGGAAACGATGTTACCTTGACCGATTACAAGTTTCTGTGGGCTTTGCATTGGGTGAGCGTGTGGACTTCAGGCTTTACAGAAGTAATTTTATTTGTATGAAGTTCTCACTTTCCCTCCACAGGAGCTACAACTCCTTCACACCTGCACCTTCACCAGGATGGCCACTCTTAGTTCACACTTAGAGAAACAGAGGCTTGGGGGCTAAATTAAATAACACTCCCAAGACCACAAGCTTATTAAAACTACAAAACCTAAGCAATCTGACTCCAGAGCTCCCCTCAAAACCACTGTAATTCCACCAACCAGGGAAATACAGGGCCCGAAATGCTCATTACCTAAAGGATACAGAAACATATGGATTCTTGGGGCTTTCAGACAAATCTGGTCATTTTACAAATAAGGAAACTGAGGTCCGGGAAGGTAAAGTTGACTTGCCTGAACTCCCGCAGCAGGGTCCAGATACCCTCCAGCACGTCCAGATTAATCACACTTCTTCCTGTGCAAACCCCACCCCCTCCCTCCCCTGTCCCACCCTACCTACCCGGCCCCAGCCCAGCCCCACCCCATTCCACCCTAGCTCATTCCTTTCTCTTCCCCAAAGAGGTAAGAGGAGGTGTGAGTAGGTAATACCCTACTTCTTTTTTCCTCTAAAGCTTGCAGAGAAAAAGTAGCTCCCCGGAGAGGCGCTGCACCCTCACAACTCAGGTGGGTCTGGACCAGCAGAGAAGGGGGCAGCGGGGAAAGGCAGAGGCCAAAGGGGGAGGCTTAATCATACTTAAGTAGACAATTGGTTGATGGGGTTCAGGTGCACCAGTCTTTTCGGAGATGGCTCCCTGGAAATACTAGGCCAAGCAGAGTTGGCAATTACCAGGTGCGTTCGTAGAATAAGGTGCAGACAGTGAGAGCTAATCTAGGTGCTTTGCCCAGCTGGCCTCCCCTGGCCCCACCATTATTAGAAGGAATCTGTACAGGTGTGAAACCAAGGAGGCAAAGCCCCTCCAGCTACACAGGCTCCCCTGGCTTGAGGTTGGAAGGGGAGGAAACAGGGCATCCAGAAACATCTAGCCAGCATCTTTGACACCCAAGAAGGGTCTGGAGCCAAGGAAGGGATGAATGGACACAGGTAGCTTCTGCAGGTGATTCAAAGCCTCACCTTCACCAAGGCCCGCTTTCCTCCCCCACCACCCCCATCTCCTTATTTCAAGCAGATGGGGTCTCAAGCGCAGGTTTGGCCTCTGTCCCTTACATTTTAGAAGGAGTGAGCCAGAGCTCTGGGCAGGGCCAAGGGAAGTGCAGACAGTGCTGGCAGGTCTCTGGCATCTAGAACAGACACCCTCCCTGCCAGCCTCTCCTTGGACTTCACACCGGCTCACCATGGACCCCCATCCTTCATGAAGCAGGCCTGACAAGCATGAAAGGAGCCACACAGGCAGGTCTCTGTAACACTAGCATCTCCCCTGGCCTGGCTCCATGCCTCTCCTGCCTGCCCTTCAGTCCCCCTGGTCATGCTGATCCAGCCGCCCAGGCTACGCCCCTGGCTCAAGGAAGCGCCAGCCATCTTGGTTTCCTCCCCAGTGGCCAGGAGGCCCCTTGGGGCATGAGGGGGCCACAGGGAACTGCCCCGTGGCAGGCAAGTCCCATGACTGTGACTTCCCAAGGAACCTCCTACCACCAAGAGAAGCAGGAGTGCCTGAG